TCTATTTCTATACACCCCAGTGGCCAACTGTTCATTCAGATCAGTACAAGATAAGGAGTGAGAACTAAGAGAACATAATTGATCAAGTTATATCAAGGGGTCCAAAATAAACCAAAAAGATAATTTTTTAAAATTTTCTAGAATGTTTACAATCACAATCATTTGTGCATTTATATTTTATAAAAACAAATTTTTATGTACAGATTATAAATGCCAGTAACAACACAGAGGATTTCCATTGAAATCAGTGTGCTTTGAAACTGCGAAACAAATGAAGCTATGTAACCATTTATGACAGCAACATTCGTAACTTCTAAAATGATTAGCATGAAATACAACAAATGTCCTTCCAACTCTGTGTAAAGGATATATATTAAAAAATTATTCACTTTGCCTTAACCTTCAATAAATAAGTGTTGCAAATACACATACTAAAATTTGCCATTTAACAATGTGATATGGTCACATTTGAAAGAACTCTTCTTATAACTACTTAGAGGTTACAAGCCTGCATAGCTTAGTATTCACAGTGTAAAATCCTTTCAATTAAAAGGCAGATGTTCTAAAATGTAACCATATAAATCCACACACTTATGTCAAGAAAGCCATTATAGCTCAGCAGCAAGTTACATTTACATTAATCACTGCTCATTAAAGGAAATGCTACAGAAAAATTGTGGTTATAGTCCCATTTCTTTACACTACTGGAAAGTTTTTTAGACAAATGTTCACATTTCTGTGATATTGGAGAAAAAGTACTTAAAACTAACCATAAACATTTTCAGACAAATCAGCCATGAATTTTTGAAGAAGGCTTTCTGGGAAAAGTGCTGTGCCAACATGGTCAAGGTAAATCGTATCTGAAAAAGATAAGTATTTGTTTTAGTTTTGCTTCTAGCAAGTGCCAGATTTAATATTTAACTTTTTTTTAAGTTTTGTATTTACATATCTTTTTAAAAGTATAGTGTTATTAGAATATTTGCGGCAGCAATAAGGTGACTCTTTCAATATAATAAGCTGTGTCAATAGGAAACATAGAAAAAAGTGTACTTCTCTAGTGTAGAAGTCTTTTTAATGAATGTAATTGTTAAAAGCAAGAATAGTACTCACAAACAGCTGATGATTAAAAGCCTGTTATTTGCAGAAATACATCTGCGCTGTGAGAACTGAAGCAAACAGTCACATCAGAAATTTTTGGGGCCATGCCCCCTTCGGCAGAACCCTGGTGTGGCCCCAGAAACGCGTTAACCGTGGATGTCATGCAAATAGAGGGATGCTCGCTCCTGACTGCATACTTCTGATGTGACTGTTTACTGAAGTTCTCACAGCACAGATGTATTTCTGCAAATCACAGGCTTTTAATCATTGGCTGTTTGTGAGTCCTATTCTTGCTTTTAACAATTCCATTCATTAAAAAGACTTCCACTTGCTAGACCTTCAGACACCCTGATTTTCATTAGTGTTACCGACCTGTAAAAAGTAATGGCATTTATACCCTTGGAGTAAGAACTTGGAGTATGAACACCAGTTATATTGCTGATTGAAAGCTGTATCAATAGCTAAAGCCACAGGCTTCTTTAAATTGCTGGAGTTTAACCAGTGCAGCTTTCACACCTATGTACTCCTTATGGACCAGAGCAATTTTAAAATTTTTGCTATGGGCCTATTTATGTGGCAATCATTTTGTAAGTAATACATACAGCCATGGCTTCCAATACCATCTCTATGCCGATGACACTCAAATCTATTTCTCTACTCCGCAACTCTCGCCCTCAGTCTCCTTGCGTGTCACTAATCTGCTAACTGACATATCTATCTGGATGTCGCAACACTTCTTAAAACTCAACCTTTCAAAAACTGAGCTCTTGATATTTCCTCCTGCCCGTGCACCTTCCCCAAACTTTTCCCTTGAGATTGTTAACACAACTATCCAGCCCTCCCCCCATGCCAATGTCCTAGGTGTCATCCTTGACTCGGACCTCACCTTTCTTCCCCACATCCAATCACTATCCAAATCATGCCGACTCCACCTTCGTAACATCTCCAAAATACGCTCCTTCCTCACCAAAGAAACCGCAAAATTACTCATCCACTCCCTTGTTATCTCTCGTCTTGACTATTGCAACTCCCTCCTCATTGGCCTACCTCTACACAGGCTATCCCCCCTTCAGTCTATCATGAATGCAGCTGCTAGACTCATCCACCTAACCAACCGCTCAGTGTCTGCAACCCCCCTCTGTCAATCCCTACACTGGCTTCCTATAGCCCAAAGGATAAAATTCAAAATATTAACTACCGCGTACAAAGCCATCCACAACTCTGGCCCCGGCTATATCTCCAACCTGGTCTCAAAGTATTACCCTAAGCGTCCCCTCTGCTCTTCACAAGACCTCCTGCTTTCCAGCTCCGTCATCAACTCCTCCCATGCTCGCCTCCAGGACTTCACTAGAGTGTCTCCCATTCTATGGAACTCTCTACCCCAACCTGTCCGTCTATCTCCCACACTGACTGCCTTTAGGCGATCCCTTAAGACTCATCTCTTCAGGGAAGCCTATCCCACTTCAACCTAACCACTGAACAATCACTTTCTCAAACAATCATCCCCGCGCAGCTACCTCCTCATGTATCACTTGCCCCTCCCTCTTAGATTGTAAGCACTCACGGGCAGGGCCCTCCTTACCATCTTGTCTTAAATTGTATTGTGACTGTAATGTCTTCCTTATATTGTAAAGCGCTGTGCAAACTATTGGCGCTATATAAATCCTGTATAATAATAATAATAAATAAATCCTGTAGAAATTGTTCACTTTTTTTCCCTTGTTTTCCTTAAAACAGTAGCTACAGATAAACGTGATATACTTTATCTTTATTCATTCTCAAAATCCAAATTAACAAAAATGTAGTTTTGTCATGTGTAAAATTAAAGTATACCACTACATTTACAAATTTATGTGCAAGTAGCGCTGATTTCAAACAACTGCTAATTTGTTTAGGACTGGTCAGCTGAGCAAATTCAGCAAATAGCTGAAAAATAAATCTCCCAAAGAAGAACCCCAAAATTTCATTGAGGAATCTGCAGGCAACAATTGCAACAGTGGGTTTCAAGGTACACCTACAATCAACAAGAAATTGCACTATTTTAGCCTCCATTATAGGTGTGCCAGAATAAACCTTTGACATCCAAAGAGATCATTAGAACAAGACTACAGTTTTCTACAAAACACATAGGCAAAGGTCAGCCCTTATAGAACACTGTGCTTTGGACTGAATCAAATAAAGAAAATTGAAGACCCAAAGCAAACTAGCAGATCCACCAAGGAACGGTTCAAAAAGAAGAAATGGAGGGTTATGGACTGGTCTGGTCAAAGCCCTGATTTAAATCCAGTGAAATGTTGTGGAGACATTTGAACTTATAAGTTCACATACAACCCCCCCCCAAACACATCTTGCCACTGAACAAATTTTGCATAATGTAGCGGTCAAATTGCAATGTCAGAGACTAGTGGGTAGTTTTGCAAAATGCTTATAAAAAACATTTTGCTTAAGGGGGCAATACAAGCTTCTAAAGGTCATGGGTGTACTTACGTATTCCACAGTACACTAACATCTACTGATATTTTTGTTGACTAAATTATTGAAAAGGCATGTTTTCCTTGTATTTTTAAGTATATCAACTTTATCTGTAGGTAATGTTTGATTAAAGATCTAATGTTTGTCTGTTCAAACATATTATAAAAGTCAACAATTCCAATGGGGCATACTTCCTTTTTCACATGACTAATCATCTTTTTTCAAGACAAAGTTTTCCTTTGACAGTATCAGCTTGCAAAAATATTTTATTTTTATGCAAGCTATAGACTGAAAACATAACAAACAACAAAGTGCTTATTCTAACTTGACCAATGTTGCTTTTAAAACAAGCAGTGTTACTATAAATAAAACATGTGCATTTTATTTAAAATGTGTTCCATTTTGAATGACACGAAGGACAAAATTATAAAGCAATTGGTGAATGTCACATTTACCGCTTTTTAAATACTGTAGGTCCATAAATATATAAGTTTCTGGTCCAAAGCATGATGCTTTTTGTGAATTTGTTAACAAGACACTGAAAACAACAATGAATAAAACAAAAAAGTGTAAACATTAAAAGTGAAAAAAAATGAAATGAATGAAAAAATGGTTACAATAGAAGTGGAAAACTATGGAAGGAATGAGGGTAGAGTTAACTAAGGGTTAACAATTTGTTCTATTTGAGCACATTTTATTTATTTTTTACTGGTAAGAATTATTTAAATGATGCAGCTCTACCTCATTCACTAAGCTAAGTGAAATTAATTTTAAACTAAACATGCTCTACTACTTTAGTAAATCAACTCCAATGTAACAATAATATTTGGCTGCTACACAGAAGTGGTTGTAGCTTTTCCTACAATACAGAGCACACTCTAGCTGTCATTTTGCACATTCTCCCAATATCCAAAAGTTCCAGGTCTTTCTTCCAATGGGCGAACAAAGTGGCAGAAAGAACACCAAACGCAAGTTTGTAAAGTTGGTGAGGGCAGCAGTTATGTTTTATTTATACCACCTTTGAATGGCATTTGTACTGTGTCAATATTCTATATTGTGAATTCAGATGAAGATCCCACCAATGGGTTTAATAGGAGGTTTTGGTTAATCCAAATGAATTAACGAAATGGTCAGTTTGCATGCCCACCAGGCCATCGGGGCACCATTTATTGTAATTGACAATCAATCTACATGTCTGGACTGGATTGACTTTGGATTAGTCACACTGTGGACTAATGGTGTGCATGTTAATTTACCATTTAAAATGTTTTGGTAAATTAGTAACTAGGGGTACTATGTACTCTTTCAGATATTTGGGGGCCCCGTTGTGTTAAAGGGGGCTTCCAGATTCTGATGAGTTTCACCCCTACAGAGCCACACATCCTCTTGCAGACCAGATATGGGGATGAGGGCATGTGGCCTGGTGTGGTTAAGGAGGGGGTGCATTCTCCTTTCCTGCCCAATCAGATTGCATGCCTGAACAAGGGTGTTGCATGGATTTGTTTTTTGGGGGACACTTATTGTATGGGGTCCCCATTAAAAATATATAGCAGATCCCTGTCTCGGATAAGGGTCTGGTATGGATTTTGGGGGTGACCCTCCTGGAACATACCAAGTCACATGCCCTGCAGAAGCAAAAAAAATAAAATTATATATCAAATTAACTTGATTACCGTGTGACATAAAACATTCTAACTGCCACCATTTTATTCTACAGGGTCTCTGCTTTCAGAATATATCATGTTTGCAATCCCTCTTTTCAAGGGTTTACTGCTCATTTTGGTCTAGGGGCTGGATTACAGAAGATATACTCACCTCATCCTCAGTCCTTGGAGGAAGGGGTGTGTGTCCCCAAAAGCACGCTAATCATTAGCAGTGGAACTCTGTGAGGAGAACAGAGTCTCAGCAGTGTCTCCTTGATCTATCCAGCTGTCAAATCAACAGCAGCTATTCAATCGAGGACAGTCAGTCCATTTTGATGTTTTTATATATTGACTTTTTTTATGGCACCCTGTGGTTTCTATATAGCCTTCTGAACTCCCTGACTGGAATGAGGCAGACTCTACGGGATGCTCAGTGAAGGGTTCTGGCTTATGGATGGTCTTCCTGGCTGCTATCCAGGGTCCCTGTAGCCTCTTCTGCCCTGTGCTCTGATGGTCTATGTTCCACTGTCATCATCATGTCTAATGCAGGTCCATTCACCTGCAGTAGAGGTGAGGGTGCCAAGGGACATACCACAGCCGGTGCGAAGGAGCTGAGCCCTGACTGCTGTAGGACCAAGGATTAGGCG